TAATTTTCTTTAAAAATCCTTTTATCGGCAATCATCTGATTTCCAAATTCCAATAACATTGTCCGAAACTTTCGTGTCTGCTCTCGCATTTCCAATCGCATCTGTTGCAAATCCGTCCAAATTTGTCGTTTATGCTCCTCCATCTCAGATCGAATCCGTTCCAAATCCGTCGAAACATCTTGTTTCTGTTTCACCGTATCGTATCTCATCTGTTCCAAGTCTCTCGAAATATCCGCCGTTTCAGATCTCAACTGTTTCAGATTCGTCGAAATCGCCTCCGTTTCCGATCTAGTCTGTTCCAATTCCGTCAACATGTTTCGTTGTCGTTTCACGATTTCAGTTCTTTAAAACTAGCGGCCATACATTCGATCTTTCGCTTACTCCATCTCTTCCATCGTCTGTCGTAGAGTACGTTGTCTTTGCACATGTTTACGGACACGTTTACCTTTGGTGTCCGTGACGTTCGTACCACCTCCTCCTCAAGCTGCTGCTCCTGCTGTTGCTGAGGATGGATTTCGACGGGTGTCGGTAAAGGCGGTAAACTTTTCTTTTCGAAGCCTCCCGTGTCGACAGGATGGACCGTCGGAGTCGTCGTCGTCGGTTGTTCCCGCGAATGAGTTTCGACGGGATACTGCACGTTCGTCGACGCCTGTAGTTGTCGGAGAATTTTGTTTAGGAATTGTCCAACTAGACTGTTCGTCGTTCTTTTCGAGTGAACGTTATTGACGGTGGGACTTTTTCCAGGAGACCGAGCATCGACGCCTAACATGTCGGCGAGTTGCGGGCGATCGAACATGGGCAGCGTAGAGTCTCCGCAAACCATCTTTCTTTTCCTTCTTTCGCTCGGAAGTCTGTCGCTGTTAATCAGGACGAACGGCATCGCAGTGGCGGAAAACACCGTTCCCATTTCGTCTACCAGCTGAATCGGACCTTCCTCGGGATGGACGCACAGGAAAGCCATCGGCATCATCAACTTGTCGTTCTCAGCCTTCATTACAACGTCCGTGTAGGTGACGCCTTGCCGTCCGCTAGAACGGCAGGTTTCTAGAAACTGGTCGGCCACGAACGGCGTGCACCATTTGGCGAAAGGACCATCCGGCCCGTCGAAGAACATGATCGTCGGAACGTCTCTGGAATCGATGTTTGCGATGAACGTCACAGCCTCTGCAAGGGGTGCCTCTCCGCCTCCGCACGTCTTCAGCAAACCGGACATGCCTGTTCTTATCTCCAACAGTTTCTTAGGTTCGAATTTCTCCATCTTCATCGAAGTACTTGATTTAACTTCGTCGCAAAGTGGAGAGTTTTGTGTTTGGAAGACTGTTGTTTTATACAGCGTCGGGTGCACCCGATGACGTCAAGGTACGTAGCTGATCATCGTTTCTCAGACCGATGACGTCGTTGGCCTATCCTATGTTTTCAGCAGACCCATTACGTCATGCGTTTCTACGTTTGCCTTAGATCTATAACGATGACGTTATCGATACCGAGCTAAACTCTACAAAATAGGTACTCTCGTTGTATTCGTTCGGCAGTTACAGCATTATATGTCCTGGAGATTCTAGAATTCTTTTGAATGAAAGTCCAAAAAATATAAACACATTTAGGCATGATTTCAATTTTCTTAGTTTTTTATTTTAATTGTCAATGCCGACAAACTAAAGTGGGGCAATGAGGATTTCCTAAATGTTAAGAAAAAGAAGAGAATGCTGCAAACGAGCCAACTTACGATGGCCGTGACGACGAAAGGGAAAAATAATCTAGTTGAGTTCTTCTCTTGAACACAGTTCAACACTCGTAAAGTAAAAGACTGGCACCGATGCAAAGTGTGGCAAACAGTGCCGAAGATTGAAGTTTAAACTGCAAGCAAGCTCGATCCCCCACCGGAGGAAGAAGTGTACCGGCACAAGGTTAACAAAAAAAAGTGCCAGAAAAGAAACGGTCCGTGTATAAAAAGAAATGTGCCAAAATACAAAGGAATGCAACATAGCATATTTTATTTTTAAATAAAAGATGGAGTAAGTAAAGAATAATAACCGTCTTAGAACGATGGAGTACAACGAGACTGTACAGGATGGAGAGACCTACGGACTCTTCGAAGCAACACTTCAGAGAAGAGGCCAAAAAAGAAAGCAACGAAACAATTCGGGAAATCGGAAGAAGCGCTCTAACAAAGAAATTATTAAAGTAAAGAAAGACATGCTGGAAACAACGACCGACGAGAACCTTGGCAGGAAAAGGTTGCCAAGATAAAAGAAGAACCTACAAGGTTCGAGATACCGCCGTTCGTGGATGAACACCGGCGATGATTGATTGACGAGGAAATGGAAGGTGTAACGTTCCTGTTTTGACAGACTTACTGTGCAAACACTTTGATTGGAAAGAGATTCGTGGAATTTCGAAGTTCGGGGGGAAACCCGACATTGAACCTGACGTCGCCACACTTACCAGGGAAGGATATAACGAATATCGTGGAAAGAAACCGGTATTATGTGCGCACGGAAACTGACGTCGCCACACTTACCCAGGAACTCGACAACGGAGATTGCGGAAGAAACAAGGCGCAACTTTATGTAAATAAACTGACAGGGGAGTCGCAAAAAGGAAAAGAAGACCAGACCAAAGAAAAAGATATGGATAAGAAAGTTATGGAAGAAGGCACAACAACAATTCTCGACTTGCTGCACGATCCGCTGTTGTACTCCGACGCTGTTCCATCCATGATGCTTGAGACCGATCGGTTTTGCGACTGCTGTTGAGGTTGGAAAATCTCCTTGATTTTAATCGGGAATAGAAAGAGAACTTACCAGGAAATGCCACAACGAACATCGTGGAAGGAAACAGTCATGTTCGCATGGAACCTGACGTCTGGAACCTGACGTCGCGACCACTTACCCAGGAAGGCGGACGGAGTGGCTCGTTCGATACGCATGACCAACGAATGGTGCGATCTGCACGTGTTCCGATTCAAATTCCGACTCTTGCCTGAGATTGCGGAGAGAACGAAAGCACAACTTTATGTGAATAAACTGAACAGGGGAGTCGAAAATGTATCGACAAAAAAAAGGCAAAAAGGAAAAAGATCAGGACAAGAAAGTTATGGAAGAAAGCACAAAAACAACGATGGACTTGCTGCACGCGAAAAAGAACAACAGTATACACCGTTATCTTAAAGACGATGGACTTGACGTTGGGGGGAGGGGAGGGGAAAACAAAAGACGACAGCAATCGTCCAACAGAAGAGATCGCAAACCGGAACGACGAAATTTTTTTTTCAAAGGGAGGCAACGCGTTCGAATTCCGACTTTGGTTTCGAACGTGGAGAAAAGAATACAGACTTGGAAAGACCGACGCTCGACGACAAATGGAAACTCTACAGAAGATAGAGTCCAAGAGTATTATACCGCTGTATAAAAAAACACCAGTGGATTGTGACAGGTGAAAAAACGACAGTCTTCACAGAATGTACAGCAAAAAGAGATTTGCTGCAAACAGCAAAGTGCAGGACAAGGGCGTATCTCAAGTACTGGAATGAACGGTTGTTGAATTACGATTGCATATGATATACCAATAAAAAAAATATATTACAAAGAAATATTTTGTTTTCGATAGTCTCTTTATTTTGAGACGAAATGGCAAAGTGATAAAGATAGAGAGTGTCGTTGGTTGAATAAGCGGCCGAGACCCGGAGAAGCTCCCGACCGGTTGATGCAAGATCTGATAAGGCAAGGGAGGCAACACCTACGAACGTGGGGAAGAGAGGGCAAATTCATTTTACCTCTATAGATTTCAACTTCACCGAAATTTTTCTAGTGGAAATATGGGAATGCTGCAAGACGTATTCTAATTAACGAGGCTGGATACACTACAGCATCGGACAGGTTGATGATGGTTCTACACGGATCTGAAAGAACAACCAAAAATAAAGTTCGATTAAGTTATATTGATTTAACTAATAAATGCTGCGCCTACACAGTGGTGTTCTAATTACGTTGTCTGTGTTGTGCAATTATTTAAAGTGTCGAAAAAATATCTCTTAGAAACAAAAAAAACCCCCCGCTAAATTCAATAATTATATGCAAAAACAAAGAGACAAAAATGTATATACGATCCACAAACTTGAAAGAGACGTCAAGAAACCATTAGAAGAAAACAAAAAAGGAAGATTTTAAATCGATCGCTAAAATGCGGACCTAAGAACTTTAAACAACCAATCAGCAGCAAGCCCACAGCTACGTAAATAGGAGAGTGGAAATAAACTGATCAGGTGAGAATTTAACCTTGCATCCTGTGCGTTACTATTTTCGGTTCTGGTAGAGGTAGAAATGAATCAAACGTTAATTTAAATAGAATACCAATACATGCTATACAACATATAATAAAATAGAAAATATAAACATATAAATTAAAGGTAATTCATATCTAAGGGGTGATTATTATAAATAATCATTACAGTAACATAATATACTGCAATTATTATACAGTATCAGGTCCCTTATTATATCATACTGGTCAACAGCATTTATAAACTGCTAATAATGATGATTATGTACTAAATGAGAGTACTAATTTAATCTTATTTATTAACTATAATCCTAGAACATAATTCAATATAAACTTACATCAGTTTCTTCTCCAGAACCTGTTGCATTGTATTCATGACCTGAACTGATACAATGTTTTGGTTACTATTCCAAAACAAGATAACAAAGTCTGTTGCTAAGTGAGAATGGCAAACCTTGAATGCATAATTGGAAGATAGCTAAGTTCACTGTCTGTAATCTAGAATTACAAGCACCACAAACTTGTCGTCTGTCTATGTTTAAACACAGGCCTATGCAAACATCAGTATAATTGGAAGATAGCTAAGTTCACTGTCTGTAATCTAGAATTACAAGCACCACAAACTTGTCGTCTGTCTATGTTTAAACACAGGCCTATGCAAACATCAGTTACTTCCTTTTGTCATGGTAGGGCAGTATTATACAACCAGACGAAATTAAGATGGATCCGATTACAGACAGATTATTAGATGATATAATGGGCATGTTATTCCAAGATGATTTGCTGGGAAACATACAGTTTGCAATGGCAGTCGAAGACGCAAATCGGGCTATTCAAGGTAATACAGTATTTACTTATTTAATCTTTACACCTTTTTTCCTATTAATCTTTACACACCCATAATATTTTTTCTTAACTTTATACATAAAAATTTGTAATTGTTACATATAAAAATTTATGATAGGTGTATTGATATTATTTTATTTTTTTTACTCAACAGACCAAACTGAAAATTCTAGTAATACTAAGGTCTTTGCTGATTTTTTTCCCTTTAGTTTTTCCCTTTTCTTATTAATCTTCACACGCCAATACTATGCTTATACACCAAATATTTGTAATTATTACCTATAAAAATATAAATAATTATGATTTATTTTACTCTACAGAACAAAATTCGATTGAAGGTAAGGTATTTACTGATTATTTCATCTTCACCTAGCTTAATTTTTTCCTTATTAACCTTCACACACCCATAATAATGTTTTGTTAATGCTTATACATCAACTATTGTAATTATTTGCTTTATTAAAATTTCTTTTTTGTTACAAACATAATTTTTTTTCTTCTCATTTGTTGGTTTTGAATAAATTAAGCGTTAAATTATCAAACTTTGTTTATAATTTGAAATATATATATATTTTTTTATACGCATACAGAAAACCAAAGCGAAGGAAGAAATGTGCCAATTGAGGGTAAGGGCTTGACTCGTTATTATTGATGCTATTGGAAAGTTATCAATAATAATAACTGAGATATTTATATATTTTTTAAATTTAAAAAAAAAAATTTTTTTTAATCTTTTTTTAAATTTTTTTTTTTACATTTTTTTTTTATTTTTTTTTTTTTTAAATTTTTTTTCCTCAAAATATCCAACTCAAAGAGCTCAATCACCAAGCGCATAGAGGC